CGCACATCCGCGGAAGGCAGCGGGGCGAGTGCATTCCAATGTCAGGAACACCTGCGAGAGGGACCTGGAAAGATGCTCCCTCAGAGCCAGCGAAGGATGCCTTCATCTCGTATTTCTGGCCTCCAGAACCAGAAGCCACCAAATTTCTGTTGTTGGCGCCCCTCCCCCACCTGGTCACTTGCTTATACGGGCCCCAGGGCACTCACACAGTGGGCGTAGCACGCAAATAAGAACAATGGGGTGTGTGTGTGGCCACGCCTATTTGCAAGTCTGAGTATCTGAGTACATGCTGTTCACATGCGCAGGCACACGTGTGCATACAGGTGGCGGTCCACGGCCACAGCTTAGAGGAGACAGGCCTCTGGCCACCAGCCACATCTGCTCCCTTCTGTCCCAGGTTACACCCGGAGCCACCTTACTTGTCAGGGTCACAGATTGCTCCTGGTTGGGGAGGGGTCTGGGTATGATCATGAGACCCCGGTTGGCCCGCGGTTCTGGGAGCCCAGGGCTCAGTCCAGGGACGTGTGCTCACAGGTAGATGGGCAGACCCGGAGAAAGAAGCCTGTAAACAGCCGCACACCATAACAGCTAACTCTTCTGGAAGGCCTCCTGCTGTTCGAAATGCCTCACGTATTTTCACTAACTGAATGCTCACAACAGCCCCAAGAGATGGGCACTCCCATCAGCATCCCCATTGCACAGATAAGGAAACTGAGCCCGAAGACGTGAAGCCACTTGCCTAAGGGCACACGGCCGCTGCCTCCGCGAGGCCAGGGCTCAGCCTCCCTGCCCTGGGTGGTGTCACGTAGCTGGTCAGGACCTGGCACCTGGCAGGCCTGCGTGTGTCCCTTGGGGACAGAACAGCGTGTACTGGAGAAGAAGGTCATCATCTGTGGGTCGGCGTCTGTCCACAGCTCGGAATTGGGACCCGAGTCTTTGTACCTAAGCATTGATGACGTGCCGGGGCCCCGGGCTGGGAGGGACCATGCGGAGCCTGGGGGTGAGGGACGGACCTTCCCCCGCCCTCCTGCAGCGCGAGCTCACACAGGAGGGAGACCAGAAGCAAACGGTGGCCGGTGGCCGGGTGAGGACGGGCAGGTGCCGGGACCCTGCGGAGGGGCGGGGGACGGGGCTGGAGACCCGTCCCCGAGATTCCTGTCTGGAGAGCTTCCCCGAGGAGGGGGCATCTGACATGACAACAAAAGATGAGTTGGCGTGAGCTGAGCTCCGGGAAGCTTCGGAAAGAGGGGCTCAGGGCCCAGTGGTCAGCGTGTTCACGAGCCAGGGCTCGGATGCTGGGTGCGTGAGCGGCGCTTGCTAGTGTCAGCCACGTGTGACCCTCTGCGCGGCCGCCTGCGGGTCCCCATCCACACGGGAGGGTGCTGGCGTGCTCGCAGCGGGGGGGGTGCTGGCGTGCTCGCAGGGGCGGGGTTCAGACGCACACCGCACCACGGAGGAGCCCCTGGCCTCACGTAGGAGTGGGAAGCCATCTGGTGTGTCACCCCGTTTCTGTCAAGAGTCCCCAACAGGCAAAGCTACACAGACCGGCCATGGATTCATGGGTGCTGGGAACTGGGGAAGGGGATGGGGAGTGGCTACTAACAGGGCTTCTTTTAGGGTGATGGAATGTTCTGGAACTAGATGGTGGTGATCATTGCACAACTTAGTGTATTATGCTAAAAACCACTAAATAACACTGTAAAGGGGTAAATTTTATGGTATGTAACTTCTATCTCTCCATATAAATATAAACATAAACAAATATAGATAGATGTAAGATCCTAAGTGAATCACACAGGCCTTGGCTCGGTCCCTGGATGCATCCCATCCAGCTGTGTGGCCTTGGGCGCGTGGCTGCACTTCTCTGAGCCCTTGTGACCCCCCCTCCTGTGGAAAGCAGATAATGACAGTCGCTACCTTGTGGGGTTGTTTCGAGGCCGAACAGAGATAACAGAGCAGACAAGCCGCTGGCAGCATCAGCTGTTACTATACCCCAGTTCTTGACACGGCTGCCCTGTTTGGCTGTCCTTGTCCCGGACCCTGCTTGTCCCCAAGTCCAGGGACATGTTATGTGCTTCAATGACATGCTCACAAGGCCACCCGCCCCCCTTTCCCTGGGCAGGGAGGTTTCAGGAAATAGCTAGAACCCTACAAACTGTTGAGGCCTGGGGGCGGAGATCACGTCTGTTTTTACACACCTGTCAACACGCATGTAACTGTGCCCACGTCCACTTTGGAGGGGGTGTGTTCACACGCAGACATATGCGCGGGGGAGGCTACGGGTCTAGCCCACAGACGTGGAAGGGACGCTCAGAGGAGCTAAGCCACCTGCCCAAGGGGGTGGGGAGAGGCTGGGGTTCCAGCCCCTTGCCCGGGGGTGCCCGGCTGGAGCTGAGTGGGTGACAGTGTGGGTGAGGTGTGGGGAGATGGGTACACGCATAGCTGCGTAGGGGGGTGTGCGCCTGCGTGGTGTGTGTCCCAGGCCCGTGGGTGTAGACACGGGCAGAAGCCAGCACAGGTCCCCTGAGGTGAGCCTGCACCCCAGCCATATGTCTGCCGTACCCCGGGCCCCCAGTGATGGGAGCCCAGGAGAGTCACTTGCAGAAGTGGCCCGGGGATGGGGGTGGGGGGGTGCGGGGAGGCAGGGGAGGAGTGTGCTCACCCTCACCCCCAGCCTGTCCCTCAGCCTGCATTTTCTCCAGGGGCCGACTAGCAGGTCAGTGACAGTTTAAGATCTTGGCCAGTCGATGCTCCTGCACGCCGGGCCTCATCTCCTATTCTGGAAAATGGGCCAACAGCATCGTCCCCACAGGACGGCAGCCAAGGTCTCAGGGCTTATGCCCAGGGAAGACGGAGTAAGCCTGGTGACACAGCAGCCCTGGAAGAGGTGACACTTTTGTTAATACGACAGTGACAGTGACGTAGCTGGCCAGGACGCAGGCGCTGCCACCCTCCGGTTTGCCTGGGATTGGCGGGAAAGCTGGGGCTTTGACCTTCTGGGCGGCCGCGCCCTCCCCCCTGCCTTCCTTACCTGCAGAGTGAAGGAACCACACCGGGTCAGGGAGACAGGCGTCGGAGCCAGGGACCAAAGGACAGGTCCGTCCCGCCAGCCAAGTTTTCCTTCCCTTCCTTCCATTTAAAACCCTGCTTGAGAATGTTCCTCAGCCTTCTGAGTTTCGGGCACCAGCCTTCTTAAATCTTGCACGGAAGGCTCACCCTCGTCGCAGCTCTGCTAACTCACAGGGTGGAGTGAGGAGATGATTCTAGCAATGCACAGTGCGTAATAACAGTGCTGGCAATGGCAGTAATAATGGCCAGTCCTTTTTCTGCTCTGTACGTGGGAAGCGCTAACCTAAGGAATACACATTTCGTTCAACCTTCTCACCAGTCTGTGAGGTAGGCAGCATTATTACGCACATTTCGGGGCTGTGGGTCAGGGTAGCAGCTGAGGGCCCCACAGCCGGGGTCCCACTCATACCTTGTATGTCCTTGGAGCCCAAGAGCCTGGGGTCTTGGCCTCCTGGACAGGGGCCGTAGGGTCGAGAGGGCCGACCGCTTGGAAGGCCCGGTGGACGGAGAGGCCGGAGCCGCAGGTGGAGCTGGCTGGTCGAGCCCCTCCCCCACCAGCAAGACCCCGGGAGCTGACCCCCCATTGACACCCCCCAGGTGGGGGGTGTCCTTCAGCCTCTACTTCCCTCCCCTGGGGACTCTATCTCAGGGACTCCCCACACCCCTCACCTCCCTGCCCCCCAGGGCTCCCCCTACCTGCCCTCTCCCCTCCCCCACCCCCGGGCTCTGGCCCCTCCACTGGGCATCTCCCCTCCCACTAACCTCTGCCGCGACCCCTCCCCCACAGGGGGTCCCATCTCCGGGTTTCCCCCCCCATCTTGTCTCCCGCCCGCGGCCCTCCCCTCCCTCCCACCCCAGGAGTCCCCGCCCCTCCTCGCCCCTCCCTCTGGGACTTCCCCCTCCATCTTCCCCTCCCTCCCTGCTCCGCGGCGGGGCTCCCCCAGCCCCGTGACTCCCGGGGGGCCGCCGGGGTTTTCCTCCAGCGCCCACGTGGGGCTCCGTGGAAAGGTCGCGGCCTGCGGGCGAGGGCGGGGTCCGCCGCGTCCCCCTCCCCGCGGGGCGCAGGGACACGGTGTTGCCGAGGCGCCAGCGAGCCCACCCCGCAGACCTGCGGCGAGAAGACTGAGGCGGGGCGGCAGGCGCCGGCCCGAGCTGCCGGCCCCCAGCCCGCGGCGGGGGAGTCACCGCGCCTGCGGCTTCGGGAGCACGAGGAGGTGGCCAGCCAGGCCTTACAGTTTCGGTTTAGAGGCGAAACGCAGCGCCGTGCCAAGCCCGGCTGAGTTGGGAGCACCGCTTCCTTGGGTATTTTTTGCTTGTTGATCTTAGTTTGGGGAAGAAAAAAATTTTGAAAAACAATGTTTTCCCCTGTAGTGCAATGAAGAAGCCCGTCCTGGTCCTGAGAGGGCGAAAGCGTGGGCAGCGGGGAGGCCCCCCCCGGGGGGGGTCGCCCCCAGCTCGTCCAGCAAGGCTGAGCCCCAAGGCAGCTGAGCCCACCGTGGTCCAGGTGCCCCCTTGACCTCTCTGGACCCGGGGCGGGGGGCGGGGGGCGGGGGTGGCGGCAGGCAGGGGCCGCAGTCAGCCCCCCAGGGGTGCGTCTACCTATGCCCTGCGCTTGGGGCAGGCTCCGGCGGGGCGGTAACAGCAGTGGTACAGCGGGCAGGTTTCGTAATAAACCGGTCTTTTAATTGCTATGGGGCAGGAGGAGGGAGGATTAAAAAAAAAAAAAAGAGGCAAAGGTTTGTTGGGCTTGCTTGGCGCCGGCTGCAGAGAGAAGAGGCACTGTTTCTGCAAAGGAGCCTGGAGCTGCTAACAGGGACTTAAGTAACACTTCCTGGTGTGTGTGCAGAGGGGGCTCGGGGGCAGCGGGGCTGGGGTTCCTGGAGGGGGCAGAGGGCCCCGCCCCTCGGAAGCGGCAGATACACAAGAACCCAGAAGCTTTAGAAATTTATTACAAGGTCATCATAGAAGTAAAAATATATGTATCTGTAAGATTCCCGTCTCTCTCAGTGGTGCAAGTAACAAGTGCAAGTAACAAAATAGATTGTCTATTACGTTTGCAAACTGGGAGTTCATGGGTACAGAGCAACGTCAGCCCCAGCTCCCGAGTCCCGAAGTACAGTCCTGGCCGGGGTGCAGGCCCTCCGCCGCCCGAGTCCCACGCAGACGTCAGCGCGGGCCGCGTCCGCCCCGGGGAGTGCGGTCCAGGCCCTCCACCGCGGGCGAGGCGCAGCTCCCCGGCTCCAGCCGCTCCGCCACAAAGCCTGGGCTCCGTTTCCCCTCTCCTGCTGGCCGGGTCCCTCTCTGCTCCTGTCACGGTGGCCGCAGCTGGCGCTGCTCCAGGCTCACCGCCCGGGGGGGGGTGGCCACGCACTCCCCTCTTCTCCATTGATTCTGCCCCCACGGTCTCACAGGTAGGGTGGTTCTGGGGGGTTATTCTGGGGGGGAGGGATCAAATATTTATTTTATTTTATTTTTTGCAGCAACTCAACAGCCTCTGGCGCCGGGAAGGGTCTCAGCGCTCCTGGAGGGAGATGTAGGGGACCCACTGGTTGTTGCCTCGGCTCTCTTCGCAGTAACTGGCTACCTCCACCAGGCCGTGGCTTTTCCAGGCATCTGTATGAGGGCTCTGTGATGGGGAAAAAGCGGGGTTCAGTGGGAGCCCCAGGAGTGGCCAGGGAGCCTCCCTCTCTCGGGGCCCCTCTGGGGAAAACAGGCCAGCTCAAAATAGCTCGCCGGGTAAGGAGGCCCCCGCCAGGCTGCCCACGGGACATGCCTGTCGTAGCTGAGTGCTGAGCTGGTACAGGACGCGCCAGCTCAACTTTGTTGACAAACACTGGCCCCGGTGCCCAGGGAAGGGTGGGGCAGGTCCGAGGCCCAACGCACCGTGACCAGGAGGCAGTGCAGGTCCCGGGGCTCGGTGGTGCCCTGGGTCTCGGCAGGCTCGCCCAGCAGCTGCGCCAGGCGCTGCATGCCTGACACCCGGACTATGTTGATGTCGTTGTCGCAGCAAAAGGACTGGATGAGCGTGAAGTGGATCTGCAGGGCGATGTCATCCTCCTCCTCTTCGTCGATGGCCAGAAGGCACAGGACCACGCTGTCAGGGTCCCTAAGGACGCCAGAGGGAGGGGACGGATCAGCCGGGGGCTGAGGGAAGGCCACTGTGCACGGGGGAGTTTGGAAAAGCAAAGAGAAACTGAAGGCAGCAAGGGTTCGCGTCTGCATGCAGCTGCAGCCGTGGGGAGAGCGCGCGCGGTTCTAGATATCTGGGGGGTGAGGCGCCAGCGAATAGGCGGTGGGCGCTTGCAAATGATGCAGCGTCAGTTTACTGCAACCTCGCTCCCCCTCCCCCCCAAAGAACGCATTGGGACTCTCAACCCACAGTGGGGACGCTTGGGGGAAATCCTAGCCACGTGCAAGAGAGGGGTACAGCAGAGAGCATGCAGAGCGGAGGGGGTCCCCACCCGCGCCCAGTCCGGGCAGTGACTCACACATTCATCAACTTGGCTGACTCGTACACCCCCACGGTGAGGCGGTCCTGGCGCTGCGCGGCCACCAGCAGCTCCTCCACCGCGGCGCTCACGGTCTGCATCCTGGGGTCAGAGAGAGGAGGGTCAGCGCGCGGCCGGCCACGGGGCGCTCGGGTGCCCGCCCGGCCCGGCTGACCTCAGCCGGCTACTCACTTCTGAGCCGCGTTGTCGCATGCCACGAGCTCTTCCAGCGTCATGTTGCAGTTATAATCCACAGTGGAAAACAGCCCCACGACAGTCCCAGGGGAGAAAATGCACAATCCGAGGCCGGAAAGCCCAAAACCTTCCCACGGAGCCCGAGCGCTCGTTCAAGACCTTCGGAAGGCAGCGAAATCCTCCTCAAAAAAAGGCAGAGAAAAAAATGCAAAGTCCTCGGCGAGAATAATCCGCGTGGCCGCAGACGAAGCGAGCGCGGCCCGGACTTCGGCGATCTGAGCTCGCCGCAGCCGGCGCCGCCTTTTATAGACTTCTGGTCAGAGGCGTGGCCTCGGCGGCGCGTCCGCCCCTCCTATTGGCCAGCCAACAAAGGCGAGAGAAAGGCGCGCTACGGTTGGCCGACCTCGGGGAGGGGGCGGAGCGCCGCGCGGGGGCGCCCACGTGGGCGCGAGAGCCAGGGGGAGGGCGCGGGGGGGCGGGGGGCGGGGAGCCGAGTGCCAGAAAAGAAAAAAAGCAGAAGTTTTCCTCCTGATTTCCCGGCAGCCGCGCCGCGTTTCGGGGCGCGCGCGGGATTTCCAGCGCGCAAGGCGGCGCGGTCTTTGATGGGGGGGCTGGAATCCCCTCCTGGTCCCGGGAGAGTCCCCGGCCCGCGCCTTTCCCAGGTTCTGCTGGAGGCCTGCACGGGGAGGGGGCCCAGTTTGCAGCTAGATCCCTCCCAGGTGGTGTGTGCATTGTCCGGGGTGAGAGGGATTGGCGGCTGCGGGGACCCCAGACCCTGGGGGACTTACTTGACTTCTCTGGGGCTCTGGGTCCCGACCTTTCTAATGTGCATGCAACGCCGGCCTCCCTGGACTGAAGGAAGCGGTAAATAAAATAAAGGGTACACAGTAAGTGTTCAGTAAACGGTGGTGGTCGCAGGAGGCCGCCTCGAGGCCCCTAAAATTGGGAGCTGCGAAGGCGGCCTGTGCAGCCACTTGCCCTATGAGAATGCATACTAGCCTCAGAGTTGCAGGAAGCATTAAAGTAAATACGGGGTACACAGTAAGCGTTCGATAAATGCTACCTGATGGTAACGGCAGGCCGCCTCGAGGTCCCCTGAAGCAAGGGCTGCAAAGCCCTAGGCACTGTAGGGGCGAGACCGGTCGCCCCCTCCTTACCCCCCGCGAGTTTCAGGGCGGGGCGCGCGTGGGAGTGGGAGGCGCAGGTGGCTCGAACGCAGCCGGCCGCGCGCCCCCTGCCGGCGCCAGGCACTTCAGCATCTGACCGCACCTGCGCGCCTGACGGTGGACAGAGGTGTCCCGGGAGACAGCCAGGGCGGAAGGGTGCTTGCCTGCTCTGCACGCTGCCCCTCCGGGTCCGCCTGCACTGACGCCACTTCCAATTCCTCCTTCCGGAGTGGGCGCCGGCATGTATGGAGCGCGTGCTGTGTACCAGGCCCCCCCATCACGGGCCATTGAATTTCCAATGACCCAGGAAGCACGGTCCATACTTAATCTGCATTAGGCAAAGGGGGAAACTGAGGCTCGGGGAGGCCACCGTCCCCCAGGCTACCGGCCAGTTGGCGTTGGAGCCACACGTGTGCGACAGGCTCCGCCGCACGCAGAGACTGCCACCAGCCTCATCGTCTCCGCAGGAAGGCTGTTCACGAGCCTGGCGGGCCGGCCAGCGTGGGACTGCCTCCCACGGTCGATCGGGGGCTCCCGGTGACTCACCGCTGCGTCCCCTCCCCCGCCAGCCTGGGGTCTGGCCTCGGCCCGGCGGCTTGGTTCCCCCGGCTCCCGGGCCCGCGGTCCGGCTGACGCATCGCCTCGCCTCCGCGCCGCCCACCGTGGGCGCGCGAAGGGTCCCCGGCGCTGAGAGGCGTGGCGGCGCCACCTGGTGGCCGCACGAGGTCTCTGCTCCCGGAGCGCCGGAAGGGAAGGAGGGGCGGGGCGGGGAGGGGCGGAGAGCCTGGGAGGGTGAGGAGCATTGGCCCTGGATGACAGTTGCAGGATTTTATATACAAAATATTTTACGCGTGCAATGTATAACTCTAGAGATGCGATGGTTCAAAAAAACCAAATAGGGGCGCCTGGGCGGCTTAGTCGGTTAAGCGTCCGACTTTCGCTCAGGTCATGATCTCGCGGTTCGTGGGTTCGAGCCCCGCGTCGGGCTCTGTGCTGACTGCCAGCTCAGAGCCTGGAGCCTGTTTCAGAGTCTGTGACTCCCTCTCTCTCTGACCCTCCCCTGCTCACGCTGTCTCTCTCTCTCC